GAGGAGTAGGTGAGGGTAAATTGGTGGTAGGTGTAGTAGGTGTGGTAGTAGGTGGTGGTAGGTGTAGGTAAATTCTAACAGAGTCAAAATCAAAAGCTACAGAATCAAAGCTTGATTAAACTACAGATTTATTATCTATTAATTTTAAATTCTTAGGAAAGATTTGGACATGAAACCAACCCAAACCCAAACCCGCACAGACCATCCAGCACCTAAGGCTAAGTGCAACAATACATCAAAGTTATTTAACCAACTAAACAGCACAATAAACGCAAACCTGCTCACCACAAACTTTGGAAAGAAATGATAAACTACTTCAACACATTCAAACCGATCATGTAGCATACAGTTACACCAAGGTGTTCATATATGTCCAAACTATATAAAGCCAAAAATACATATGATCAATTTAGGAAACCCCAACCATCTACAAATTATCTTCGAAGTTATATAATGAGATGAGAGAGTATGGCTATTAAAAGGAAAAAGTTGGTCAGTTGAACAAACCATGCTATATTGCACTGTTCTTTAACCAACTATAAATTAGGCCATTTAACATCTAACAAATATTCTGAGCATGATAAAGAGAAGAAACATCTTCCTCTCTAGCAATAAACATCTGATACCCACAGCAATAGTATAATCCCAAGGGCAGAAAAGTTTATGACCAAGGAAACTCTATCTAAAAGAACAAGTACTCTTACAAGTAAGTTTAGATGGGACTCTATTGGTCATGATCTCCTTCACACTGCTATAGTTTCAATGACTCCAATGATCATGTTAGTCTATTTGATTCAATACTACTTAATTTTTATTATTTATTTTGACCACATAAATTGGTATTTAGACAACAAACATAAAATTTACAATAAAATATGTCATACAATACAAAACAAGGCTTGTAAATTGGATCGGATAGGATCGGATTCGGATCGAGATTCTACGATCCTATAAGATCCCATTACTAGGATCGAAAGATCCTACCTATAAGGAGTTTTTTACACGATCCGGATCGATTGTACTCAAATGAATCGTAAGATCGTAGGATCGTAAGATCCGGATCGGGATTCTGATAACCATGGCACTAAATGGCTCACAGATTTACAGATTTTTTTTGTTCATGGTTGGATTTGGGAGTTTTATTCTCTATTGGGGGCTTTTCAGTTCAGATGTGCAAATGGCTTCAAAGATTATTCTTTGTTGGGTTCAGTTCCGATTTGCTATTTTGGCTTCAAAGTACCAGTCAGAGCTGTTCATTTGTGCAATCTTGGTGTTTTATGTTGCTCTTCTTCGGGTAAGAATGGAGGTTTTTTTGGGGGATGTGTTTCTTGTATTCTTACACTTTCTGATTTTCTGATGTGATGAATTATTTTGCTTTGTTATTTAGTACATGTTTGTCTATATACCTTGTTCTTGATTATGATCCTAATTTGCCTTTCTTTTTATGTTTTATTATTGGGGTTTTTATACATGTACAACATTGATATGGAGAAGTGAATAGAGAATACGAACTATAGCTTCGAGGTAATTTGCACTTCATTCCACTTTCTGATTTTTTGATTTTCTGATATGATTTTTTATTACAAATTATTTTGATTTTAATTGCATGTGTGCTTTGTTGTTCATTATGATCCTAATTTTATTTTTCGTTTGTGTTGCTTGGGTTTTTGTACATCAACATCGATATGGAGATATGAGTTTTTCATTTAAAGCTATTATTAGGTTTTCTTCTTCTTTTTCTTGTTCTGATCTAACTATATTGAACTTCTTTTTTTGTTTGATTTCAACTTTGGATTGCATTTGTTATTTGCTAATTTGATCTTTGCATATTTATCATCTTTTTATTCTTCATTTTGATTATATGTGTTGCTTTGTTTCAGATCTCATAGGTATCTCTTGCTTATTTTTGATTATTTATTTTTATATAATGTTTTCGTACTCTCTGGTTAGTTGCCCTTCTTTCCCATTTGCATTTTCATGTTCTTTTTCTTCTATTGAAATGTATATATATTTTACTTACATTTCACCTACTTTGTTCCTTTCCCATTCCAAATCCCTTCCCAAATCTCCCAACCAAGCACAGTGTAAGGGGGTGCAAGCACTTCACTTGCACTTCTCCTTATGTTTGAGTGTCTTAGATTGCACTATTTGTATCTCTAGAAACATTGTTATGTCACCACCTTCATATTCATAAATAATCATTTTTACTCACAAATAAACAAAGCAGTTTTATTTTATTTTTTTAACTAAATGTTCTGTTTAAAAATATAGAAATTTCCACAGATCTGTGAATGGTCTTGCTTTTTCATATACTAAAATCTTATAACAATGAATGAGTGTATTATGAGATTTAACAAATTCTCTTGGGTTGTGTTTGAATCATGGATTTGGATAGAGATTTAAACAAACCATTCCTAAAATGCATGCATACTTAGCTTTTAAAGGGCATGATTTCTATCAATAGAAACAACCATGTCCGAAATTTTAGGAAAATGCTATCTACCCATAAATTTTACACCGAAAAGTATCCCAAAAGTGAGTTGTATGGTGCAGATTCAAAGTGATGTGAGTTCGCCCGGAATGAATGTAGTCTATCTTGCATATGTATTTTTTTGGTCTATCCTACATATGTATTTTTCTGGATCATTTTTCTAGGTATGTAGTATTGTTGAAAATTTTAACAAGTTGTGTTCTATATTACAATAAATTTCTATAAATCTAAGAATTCCTATAGGATTGGCTGGGACCTTTGTGGCTATTCTTCAACCTGATCTCAAATGAGTAACTATATCTTCAAAAATTAGTTTCAAATTAATAATTAACAAACTGAGGGATGCATAGCTAATTATATCTAAAAGTGTGTGCAAGATGTTGCAAGGAAACTCTAGGGTAGACTCGACAACTCAATGTTGGTAGATACATTTCCCACTTTCTACTTTGTGTTCCTAAAAGGCCATTCATTTGGCTTCAAAGGATTTCAAAATGTGCATTTTTGGGACTCAATACTTCTGCTGTGCTACTGTAATAGGTTGAAGGATTCAAAACGAACTTAATTTACTTTGATTCATACCAAGCCACCTACCTCGGAAAGTTTGTCACAGGTATGTCTAGATCATTTCACTCTATGTTGATACTGACTTTCCTTGTTGCAGCTTATGTTGATTCTAATTTGCCTTTGTTTGCAGTTCATTCATATCACTTTCTCAGAATGTGAATTCCGATGTCAGGTTAGTCTTCAAAACTAATTTTTGTTTATATCTATCAAAGTTATTGAATGGTCGCATCATGTTCAAATTTTTGGATGCGTATGCTTTGTTGCCTAGAAATCTAGTGAACCATAATGTAGTTAATTTCTTTTTGGTTGTTGTCTGTGTGTTTTATTATTTTATTTTCATGTCAGACTCATCTAAGTGCATTGTTGCATTGTTTATACATCATATTCAACTTCACAAAAAATTGAACTAAAACTAAACTGAAATTACTTGTAATGGGCACTAGGTTAGCACTCTGTATAAAGCTTGGATGTAATTTCCGCCCCATGAAATGCCTTTTACCATTCTTCTATATTCTGTTTTCTTATGCTTGGGCATAATAACAAATATCATTATGTATGTTTTCTATTGTGGTTTTAAACAGAAAATCTGTGAAGTAGAGTTCTAGAATTGGGTTTTTCTCTTCAATGTGGGATTTTTTTTTTGGGGGGCAAGTAAGTCATAAAATAAATGCAAAGAATATACACATTTAGGAGGGGCATACCCCAAGTAATACAAAACATCTAACACGGCCCCCAATGAGGGGGACACTAACAAAAAAACACAAACAACCCGTAGCTTAATCAGTGAAGTAGTTCTGGGAGAGAGAAAACTTGGTACTTATTTTGATCGTAGCTTTAACTTCTTATTAGACAAGGAAGATCCAAGAAATAATAGGGATATGCATGCATTTAGGTGGTAGGTGATTAGCTGGTATATTTTTAGTTCTTGGACATTATGTGGTTGCAAATTGCCATACAGTAAAGTTATTAAATCTACCTTCATAAGAATTGTGTTGGTTCATCAAGAGATGCCAAACCCCAGCCAACCATTTTGATTTAGTAACGCAAGAGAATAGTAGGTGAAGTTCTGCATGATGATTAATTTAGTAATTAACACATGAGATTTGCAATTAAATTCTACATGATTATTTCTATCATTTTTCAATATGCACATTTTTCTTTAATAATAAATTAAAAAAAAAAAATTTGTGATTAAATTTGTCACTGGAACTATTCCTGTAATGTAGAATCAGGCTTTGTTTGGTGGAGCTTTGGTTGTTTGCACATCTTGGTTTGAGTGCTTTGTTTAGAATTTTCAAAAACTGATACCTGGATGTCCGACCGGTTGACCGGAATTGTATTTGTTTGTTTGTTTGTTTTTTTTTTGGAGGGGGGGGGGGCAATATACTAAATTCTCATAATTTTTTTTTTTGTATTTTTTTATATTTAGTGAATTTTCTAAAAAAAAACAATTCACAAATATTATATTTTTAAGTATATTTATGTTAGGTGTATCTAAAAATTAAAAAAAAAAATTTAGTGAAAAACAAAAAAATATGAAAAAATAAAAAATTTCAATTTTCCAAAAAGTAAATTCTGAAATCCATACCAAACAAGCTGATTGGCATTTAAGGTCTTAAAACATGTGATATCAACATATTTTGGCCAGAGTTGATTGAGGAGAATAGTAAAAATTAGTTTATAGTGAATTTGACATTAAAAAAAAGAATCAAAACAAAACAAATTTAAAATGCAGTGTATATAGGGTGTAATATTATGCACACATTGAATGTGTGCTACAATTCTAGTAACATAACAAATAACCAAAGTATGTACTAATAAATTAGAATGCCATGCGGCACACAGGACACGTCTTTCTAATCTTGAACCGTTTAACAATACACTTGTCATGATATTTATGAGAGCACAGCAAGGTAGTAACGTTAATTCCAATTGGAAGAGTCTTCGCACATAACGTGCATGTTTTTTTTTGAGAAGCAATCGCTTGGTTGAACTAAACATGAATCTGTAGGAGTCATTTTCTCCAATGCTTCATTGGATGATTTTGTGGTTGGCAGCAAAATGAAACGGTTGGGTTCTCTCATAATCTTGGCAACTGCCTCTTCCACGCTCTCGTCAGGTCTTTGAAATGTTCTAACCACAACATTTAGAACAATTGGCAATACTTTTGGGTTTGGGTACAAATTCACCATTACACGAGCAAATCTGGGCACCTCATTTATTATTGACTCTTCAATACTCGATGGTAAATGAGCAAACAAAATAACTTTCATGTTTTCGCTCTCTAGAAAATCGTTGCGACTGAAAAAAATACCCAACGATAGAGTCTAGCATTATAACATCACTATCGTGGTTCCTGCCAATACTATCACTGCCACGAGTAGGTTTCTTGAGTTCATTAGAAAATTGTATTTGAACATAAATGCCATCATCAATTGGCTCACAAGAGGGTGTGGTAAGAATTTTCTCGTCGGCCCAACAACTGTAGGCATAGCTATGATCGATGTCTATGGTATTGTATGATCTGATGATACCAAAATAAAAAATATCAAATATGAATATGATATGAAACAAAAAATATATATATATATATATATAATGATATAAAAGGGAGAGATAGATCAAGAAGATGGGTACTAAAATTTGCTAAACAAAATCTAAGGGAAGCATATATTTATAATAACATTCTATATCCAATTTGATTTGGATATTAAATTTCCAAGTAATGCTATACAAACAGAATTTGTATATAAGATAATAATGTGTTACATTTATAGTCATTCATCAATCTGATTCATAATTGCAAGAATAGCATTATCACATTATTCATGTCTTAAATTTTGTATGAAAATTATGTATGCATACCATTTTTCTAAATTTCCTTTTGATTTTGCTAGTGATACGAATGAGTGGTGACAAGATTGGCCACGAAAATTGCAACCACAACATTTTTTTTTTGAACAATTACTCCAAAAAAAATAAATAAAAAAAATAAAAAAATTGAGTATGATCTTTTTAATAAAATAAACTATGAGTTTTTAATTTTGTTAATTTAAATTTAAAATTTTTGTTTTATTTTCAATTTAAACGATTTACTTATTTTCGGTAAGTAGAACCAATGTAGGTGTACATAAAACATCTAAAATATTAGTTTTTATTGAGTTTAATGACAAATATTTTTTTTCCCAATGATTTTAATTATCAAATATAGACAAATAGTATAGATTTAAAACATGAGAAATCACCCATATTTATAATAGAAAAATCTTAGCCAAGTATTAAACCCAAACCCACAAGGAACAGAATTCTAGTTATTAAATTAATTTAGTTTCTTATAATCCAATCCAAAACTAATAAGAAAACACTTAAAACCAAGTCAAATAGGAATTCTCTCCCACAATGCTAATCCATAAAAGGAAGAAGAAAGAAGTATGATCAAATACAAACTAATTTGAGAGTGGATTATGAGTCAAAAACAATTAATAAATAAGAGTTTTTCACACTCACTCGCGAGAACTTGGTTGTGGTGGATTCTGGGTTTTGGGCTTACTAATTGATCTGGCCCATCTAATTGCTCTCCCAATAGGGCTTGGCCAAGGCCGAAGAAATCTACAATATTTTGAAAATTAATTTGCTTTTTAAAAAGAATGTTGGGCCCCTCCTATTCTTAATCTGGATTGGAGGGCATTGTTCTGGCACATGGGGTTCAATATGGGTTCTATTTCGATAATTTGAACCGTTTATTTTGTTGAGCACTTCGTGTATATCAATTACAAAAAAAATTAGGTTAAAAAGTTAGGTCGATCCAATAATCGTAACATATTCAATTTGTTATGTTTGTTATTAAAAACATAGATGACAATTGTATTTTTAAAAGTACACCATTTATTTTTTTAGTTGACAAATGCGATAAATTGAATAGGTTGCGATTATCGGATCGATCTAATTTTTTTTGTAAGATATACATGAAGTGCTCGACAAAATGAACGATTTGAATTATTAAAACGGGACTCATGGTAGAACCCATAAACCTGAATAGCGCCCTCCAATCTAGATTAAGAACGGGAGAGGATCCACTCTTTTTAAAAAAAGGTCAATGACTCACACCTATCTATTATAGGGTAAATTGCACTAACCTCCCCTGAGGTTTAGTATAATTATAAGGGCCTCCCATGTAGTTTTAATAATTACACTAACCTCCCTTGCTTTTGAAATTATTAGAAAGATTTTCCCTTATGTTAATTTTATTCCAAACAGTGTCAAAAATAACATTAAATGACTAAAATACCCCCACTCCATCTTTTTCTTTCCATTAAGTCAACTACTCCAACATTGCCTCATCTAACCCACCAAATCTAAGAGAATGATAAATTAGTGACCTACTATAAGCTTATTGTCAGCTTCCATCTCCAAGAGAACTTACATTTAATTTTGAGGAATTATTACACATTCATTATTAAAAAGAAAAATAAAAAAGAGTTTATGTTTTTAATTATTAATATTTATAAAATTTACCCTTTTTTAATAATTATTTTTCAAAATCACTCATGAAATGAATTTTTTTCTAAATTTAAAATTAGCATAACTAAACTTTTATATCCCACTGTGCAAGGCTATTGAAAAAAAACGAAAAAAAAAAAAATTTCTCGCAAGATTTGTGAATATAGTCCGCATGACTAAACTTTTAAATCCTATTAGATATTTTATTTTTATTTCTCTTTTATTTTTGTTATTTTTTATTTAAAGGTCACATTATTATGCTATCATAACCAACCTTTTTAGTACAAAGCAATTCAAAACATATAAATATATATACACACTATATATAGGGAAAGTGAATCATAACACTTTTTGTTTGGTTTAATTTTCATAATCAATTTTCTAAAAGCATTATGAAAAACCTAAAAATTAATTTGGTGTAAAATTTTTTTTAAAAAAATTGGTCAACATTTTCACATGATTTTTCTTTTCTTTTTTGAGTGCAAAATTAATTTTTAAATAACCAATATTCTTAGTACATGGCAATTCAAAACATATACATATATATATACACACATAGGGATGGTGTAAATCCTAGGGTCTTTTCCCAATATAAGCCTTTTTTACATTGTATTTTCAAAACTAGGCCAACTTCTGACGGAATTCCAAAACTAAGCTAAAGCGCCATTACTATTCGCGCTTTTACTGTGAGGAGCGCGAAAGTGGATGAACAGGAAAATCGCTATTACAAATAGCGACTTTGATTAATAAGTCGCTGTTACGAATAACGCTTATAGCGTTACTTTTTTTCCCAATAAAAACGCTATTCTTAACAGTGCTTTTTACACACAATTTTGTTGCCAAAAAAACGCTATTGGTAATAGCGATTTTAACAAAAAATTTTTTACCAAAAAAACGCTATTTATTATAGCGATTTTGAGAAATTTTTTTTTGCAGAAAAAACGCTATTTATAATAGCGATTTCAGTTCAAATTTTGTTGCCAAAAAAACGCTATTTCTAATAGCGATTTTAATAGAATTTTTTTTTTCACCCAGCGTTTTTAACATAAACTTTGTTGGAATAAAACGCTATTTTCAAAGATAAAACAAAAGAAAAAAACATAAAACATATTTAAAAAAATATATTTACACCGTATATTTTAGTACTTGGCTTTACTAAAGCAATTATCATGTTAAAATATGTTTTTTTTTTTCTTTTGTTTTTGTTTAGAATGTGTAATTCATAAATTTTACATAATATGAAAAAAAACCTCTTTTCATATATTAATTTTACATACTATTTTTCATATATATAATTTCAAAATCATATTCATGTAGATATTATTAAAGCCAATCATGTTCATTTATTTGGCTTTACTAAAGCCATTGTCATGTTACATTTTTCATTTTTTCTTTTGTCTTTGTTTTGATTTAGAAAATGTAATTAAAAAATTTTTTTCGTCTTCACTAAAGTTGTTTTCATGTAAATATTTTTTTTGCTTATTGTTTTGTGTAATTAATTATTTTTTTTTTGCTTTACTAAAGTCGTTTTCATGTAATTTTTTTTTTCTTTTGTCTTTGTTTTGGGTTGGAAGGTGTTATTTAGAAAATTATTTTGGCTTTACGAAAGCCGTTTTCATTTAAACATAAATATATATTTATTCTTTTGTTTTGGGTTAGAAGGTGAGAATGTAATTCAGAAAATCAGTTTAGTAAACCAGTTTAGTAAAACCGTTTTGTACCCGTTTTCATTTAAATTTATTTTGTTATGGGTTAGAATGTGATATGCATGCTGTACAGTTCGAAGCACACCCACACACTGTGCAACTCGACGAGCAACGACGAAGGGTGAGACGCGAAGACCACCGCGGAGTAGGCCAAGAAGACAAAGGCCACAGCGAGAGCTCCTAAAATAAATTTTCTCAACATTTTTGTAATAATACTTAATACATAATATACGAAGTCAGTACTTTACAAAATACTCATACGGACATGAAAACAACATAACTGAAGTTGCAAATGTAACAGTTTTCAGTTACGTAGGTAGTACAGACATAATTCTCCCACAAAAATACATTATGGACACCATGAACTGAACACACATTACATACGGTGTGTTGACCTTGATTGTTAGGCATTGTGTGTACCATGGGCTGAAGCCCAGCGGTTCACTGTCAGGCATGTCCCCAATTCGGGGCCAATTAGGAAGATAGGAAAAGAGAAGGAACTGTGGGTCATCTTGGATGTCTTTTGGATTTACATTTTAAGGACAATTATTTTCTTCTTGGTGGTGCGTATGCCAGCATTGTACAGTGAAAGTTCTTACTGCCTTCGTTTGGGAAGTGGGTTGGCTTTTTGGCTTTTTAATTTTTAATTTTTTTTTGGCTATTCTAGCCTGGGGCTAAAAAGCCTCGTTTGGGAAGGGCTTTTGGTTTTTTTGTGAGAGAAAGAATGCAATGATTATGGATTAGATGTGATGTTTTGTCTTATTAGGCTAAAAAGCCTATTTTGTTTTTTGTGGCTAAAATAGTCAAAAAGCCCCAGCTTTTGCTTCCCAAACGAAGCCACTATTGTGTCTGTGATTTCTTCTTTGAATTGCCTGTTTCTCTGCCATCTCATATATGTTTACTTTTCCTATTTTGAAAATCTGAAATATCTTTTACAAGATGGCATGAATTCATAATACTGTTTTACCAAATTCCTGCTTCTTATAACATGAAGATAAATTTTGTGAAAGATATGCCATCAGATCTGCTGTTCAAAAGGAAGAAAACCAATGAACTTTTAAGTTTCAAAGATAAAGATGTCTTTGGATCTTAACTAGCGGTGAGACAGAGTAACAACTCACTTATTTCCATAGCCTTGTGTTATCAAACAATTGCAGAAGCATTTCTCTCTCATGTTACCACCCGCTGGCTTATTGCTTTTTCATACCCACACAGATTAATAAATCATCATTAATGCACCCTGGTACCAATGTACTTAAATTTTGAATTATAATTATTTCCGCTTGTGAAACAAGGTAAATAGGAGGTCGATAGGGTTAGACTACATTAAGAGTTGCAAATAGCAATATCACATATTACTTATCTAGACTGACTGTGATGGAAGAGTTTAATAAGTAATCTGGTTTCCTTTTTGGACAGAATAATGAGTTCAAGACCAGAGTTTAAATCTAGTGGGAGAAGAGGATATTATTTGTCGAATGAGTTTTCTACATCCAAGATCTACAGGTAAGGTTACATTTAGCTATTTGGGAGGGTCAAACTATGACAAGAAATAATATTGGTCAGAGGTTCAAATTAGAAAGAGGAGTGATACAGTGAGATGGGTTAGAGCGCTCTCTCATATATTCCTTTACCCAACCAATCTATTTGGCTCACCGAGCTTAATTTGAAGCCACACTGATCCAGATTCTGCTCTCTCATACAGAACTAAAATTCAAGTTCTCTTCATTCTCCTTATAGTCATCTAGCTTTCTTCTTGTCCTTTCTCCTTGGTGTTTACAAAGCATCAAAGGAGTTGCTACCAACAAAGTTTCAGAGATCAGCCCTAAGATTTGTTGAAATCATCAAGCAGCATAACCATCAACTCTGCATAAACAGATGTTGGAGAGTGCAAAACTCTCTTGCATGCCTTGGGAAACTCCTTGCCGAGGGCTTGTGCACCCTTGCGGATTGGTCGGGTAGGGCCTTGATCTAGACACCCCGGTGCCAATCAAAAAACAAAAAAAAAAAAAACTCTCTCGAATGGCTCATTAAACCCTCCTAGTAACATGAACCATAAAAAAGCAAAACAAAAGTGTAAGTTGAATGCAAAGGGACAGTACAAAGCTACAGCTCATGCAGCCATGTGATGATCCAATTAATGCTCAAATAAAAAAAAATGAAGTTTACCACTTAAAGCCATGAGGATTCTTTTTGTGATATCAACCCATGATTACTGCAAACTTCAAGTTACATGAGATGATGAAGCATGTCAAAGTGCACTGTCAGGTTGTTGATGATATGACAATAAAAAATTAGAATGTCATAATTTTATTTATTTATTTATTTAATTTTAATTGTTAAAATTCTCGCAATGCATGTTAAGTCAAAAGCTAGACAATTGATAATTTTTAAAACTAGGCACGATAAAAATCAATTTTCCGGTGCAACAGGAACTGTTGACAAATAATATAACTAAAAGAGTAAGATAATAATATTTCCTATTCTATTGACAACACAAATTGAAAGGAGTAACAATTGAGGGTTAGGGTTCTTGATGCATAAATTGGACATATTGTTAGCGTTTGTTTTGTACTCTTAATGGCCTGGTGTTGAAATTAGGTCTTTAATAAGTGATTACTCTATACTAAACATGTTAGAAATTGGAGATCAGTTTATAAAAGACAAAGTAATTTGGTGGTGGTGAGATTTTTGAGGTGCTAGTGCCCGAATTGTCAGTTTGCTAAAAGCAATTTTGTTGGCAAGGCAAGGGATGTGCTAGTAGTTTAGTGGTGGTAGTGGTGGTAGGATGGATATAAGTAAATGTTACATGTTTGCATATATTACAGGTGGTGGGGTTGGTAGTCATTTTAAGTGACATTGTTGACTGGTCATTGGGGGTTGTTAGGGCAAAGTAACCATTTTTAAGCGGCAGTGGTGGTGGATTTGTTGTGGTATTAACTATTAAAGGTGTTTTTGGAGGTGGGCTCAACATAATAACAAAGGTGTTGGTGGTGATAATAAGTGGAAGAGGCATTTGAGGTATTGCAATCAGATCAGACCCATCACAGCCGACACTAACCTAATGGGATGGTCATGAGCTTCAGATCTGAGAGTGCCCTGTCTAAACAACTTGATTGGATTCCTTTGTCATTGAATTTGTCATGTTTGGCTCTTCCTTTGCCATATCAGAATCCGTCAGCTATAATTAGCCAACAGGTGATGCTTCCTAAAAAATGACCTTCTGTGTGGCACTGGTGTCCAATCAGAAGAGGATAACAGAAGTGGATGGGTTGTGGAATGGGGTAGGGGGAATTGGAGGTGGCAATGGTGCTGAAAGAGGAAGGGGTGGAGGGCAGTGGCTGAGGGGAGGGGGAGGAGATGGGGCATTTCATCCATGGGCATCACCCATTCCTTTGCTATGGGTGTCATAATGTTTTGATACTTGAATGTAGAGTTCATCCAAGTAAAAAAAGCTCAAAAATTTGCAACTAAAATACCAAGTTCCCCAATCTACAACTAGTACTCTGATGAACACCAGATAGTAACTCTTTCCTACTTCTCTTTATGACTTTTGGATTTTCAATTTACATGTAAACATGAATATCTATATTGCCACATTTCAAAGTATATTTTACATGTGGCTGGTGAAAGATCTATTTTTTTTTTTTGGTTAAGACAAAAAAAAAAAAAAAAAACCATCAAAAAGGAAAGGTCTTCCTTTTGAGTTGATAAACCTTCTTTTGAACATGCTTTATGTGATTGTAATAGTGATAGTGTGTTTACCTTCCCTAATCTTGTGGCTTCCTAAACAGCCAGGTGTCTGAGACGTGCAATCATTTTACTCTAAAGCTTTAAATATAACTTGATGTCAGGGTGGAGCCAATGCTGGACGCACTATTTACAATGCAGAGGGGAAGAAGTTTGCCCTTCATCTTGTTCCTTTGGGTATTCTTAATGAGGAAACTGTGTGTGTGATTGGTAATTGGGTTGTAGTGCATTCACCAGGGTGGTTTGAAGAAATTGATGGCCTAGAATCTAATGGGGTCTCCTGCAAAGGTAGGATATTGGTATCTGATCGTGCTCACTTGTTATTTGATTTTCATCAAGTAGTAGATGGCCTTAGAGAGGCCGAGCTAGCTAATTCCTTTATTGGCACTACCAAGAGAGGCATTGGACCATGTTACTCCAGCAAAGTTATTCGCAATGGCATTAGAATATGTGACCTTAGGCATATGGACACTTTACCTCAGAAGCTTGATCTGTTATTGTCAGATGCAGCTTTAAGATTCCAAGGTTTTAAGTATAGCCCAGACATGCTCAAAGAAGAAGTTGAAAAATACAAGAGATTTGTTGAGAGGTTGGAACCCTTCATTGCTGGCACTGTGCATGTCGTAAATGAATCCATTGCACAAAAGAAGAAGATTTTAGTGGAAGGTGGTTAGGCAACCATGCTGGATATTGACTTTGGAACCTATCCATTTGTAACTTCCTCTAGCCCATCAGCTGGTGGAATCTGTACTGGTCTTGGCATTGCCCCTAGAATTCTTGGTGACCTAGTTGGAGTGGTAAGAGTTATAGTTCTTTCATTTCTTTATTATTTTTCTCTTTTCTCCCAAGTGTCTCTTGTAGAAAGTGATTTCGCCTGAGTGTCTCATGGTAATAACATTTTTACTTCACACAATACACTTACACCATGGTCATTTATGGTCCCTACCTGATATTTTATGGTGCAAGTTAAAGCGTACACCACTAGAGTTGGTTCAGGTCCTTTCCCAACAGAAATCTTAGGTAAAGGTGGTGACCTCCTTGGGTTTGCTGGGCAGGAGTTTGGCACGACTACTGGTCGTCCTCGTCGTTGTGGCTGGCTTGATGTAGTTGCTCTAAAATACTGCTGTCAGATTAATGGCTTTTTTTTCTCTAAATCTCACTAAGCTTGATGTCTTATCGGATCTTCCTGAAATTCAGTTGGGGGTATTGTATAAACACATTGATGGTACACTAGTCAAATCCTTCCCTGGTGATCTTCGCGTTCTCGAGCAACTGAAGGCAAGCATTTCTTTTTCCTTTCCATATATTTATTTGAAACGGGTATCTAAACTTACACAGGGCTGTGTATATTTTAGCCCTCGCACACTAGGTCACCCTTTTTACTCAATGGAGATTTAAACTTTGATGGCATTGGCTCACTAAATAGAAACTTTACACGTAGTATGTGGTTGGTTGTCCATTTTTGTTTTCCATGTATTGGGACCCTACTCGTTCTCAAGGATGCCAAAATGAAACTTGTCTTCACCTCGAAACCCTAGCAATGAATCTTCTCTGTCCTAAAAAAATAGTCCTATTTCAAAGTAGGAAATTACCTGAATGTGATGGTTTACACCTGATGTTTGACCCTCCCCCGCTTGTTGTTTTGTATCAATAATCTAATACATAACAAAAATTAAAGAAAATAATTGAAAAACTAAAGATTGAGTTTGTAATTGTTTCCGTTTGCCTCATAGTGGCTTCCATTCACCATGTGAATTGTATTTTTTCTTTCTTATATATGTCAGGTGGAATATGAAGTTTTACCGGGGTGGCAATGTGATATTTCAAAGGTGAGAAACTACTCTGATCTTCCAAAGGCTGCACGGGAATACGTGGAAAGAATAGAAGAACTTGTTGGTATTCCCATCCATTACATAGGCGTCGGGCCTGGGCGTGATGCTCTTATATACAAGTGATATTATTTATTAGGGTTTTTGTTCTTCTCATTTGCTAGAATGAAGCTTTTTAATGCTGGAGGTGTATGTTCCCTGTGCTTGGGATTAATTTTTGGACAAAGAGATAAAATTTTAGTTAGTGGACATGCATTTGTTGTAACAAATGTTAATTCTCAATCTGGGCTACTTTGATAAAGTCGTTATGACTTTGAATTTGAATAACTGTGCTGGGTAATAATATAGGGCATTTTGGTATGATACCATGGCTTAGGCTCTGTTTGGTGCAGTTTGTAGGGGTTTTTTTTTTTTTTTGAACAGTAAATCAGTCAATTTTGGAGACACCGAGTCTTTGACCATTGTTGATTTAAGATTTTTCTGGGACCTTATTTGTCAATAGGGTAAATAATTAAAAAGTTAAAAATTATTGTAAGTTGTCATATCATTTTTTTAATTTTTTATACATCTTTTAATAAAAAATTAAAAAAATAATTTTCAAACATGTCAAAAATCAAAAAAGTTATTATAAAAGTTAACTATTTTTTATTTTTGTAAATAATTTTTTGGAAAATTTCAAAAAATCATTAAAAATGTCAATTTTCGGAGCACCCATAATCATGTTATTACAAATGCTGTAGAAGTGTAGAATGATTGTGACTATAGCACTTGTAATTGCATGAAATGTTACTAATTCATATAGAATGATGGTTAATATTATGTGATATTATTTATGGAATTTTTAAAACTAATTATTTAACAAAAAAATTATTAAGGCATACGGACTCAATTTTATTATGTCGTTGAAGAATAAAAAATAACTCACTCGAATATGTGTTACTATTTTATATTGAGCAAGAGTAGCAAGTAAAAATGCTACATTTAGAAAAAAAATATATATATAACTAGTTCTAGAAATTTGAAATAATTATATTAACACTTTGTTATATCTTCATCGATAATTTATTAATTATATAAATAAAAAAAATAGTGAGTGGGGCCCATTAATAATGTGATGTTTTGGATTTTTTTTATTTTTTCATTACCACATAAGTATAACTCAATTTAGAACTTTACTTTTAGAACTCTCTATTGCCACCCTTGATCTTATTTATCTTTGTATTTGAACATCATCTGTGTTAATTTAAAATTACATCAAAATTGAAAACCTTATTTATACTTCTTCCAAAATTTAGGGAAGCAAAAAATATTTTTTTAAAATATTTTTCAGTATAGTAGAAAATGAAAGTCAATATAAAATATTTTTCATGATAAATGAAAAACAATTTTATTTGAGTATAAAATATTTTTTACTTTTAAAAGGTTGCAAATATTTTTTGGACTAAAAATTTACCAATTTCATCACATCACCTCCACCACCATCACCACAACCACCATCATTATGGCCCCACCACCATGCCATCACAACCACCTTCATTCTACCACCACTACCAAATATAGAAAAATATATTTTTTATTTTTAATAAAAAACATTTTCTATCCAAATAAACGGAACTTTATATATACAAGGAGTTTAAAAGGAATTTTGTAGACAAAAAGAAAAGATAAAAAATAGTGCAGTTATTAGCATCTCATCAGTTATTTTGAATCTTCCATTTCTTTGGACTCCACTTATAAATTTTAAAACCCTTAAAATTTCTTTTATCCATTGAATAATATCAAAATTATCTTTGTTTTCCACACATTCAATTGAATGCACACTCCCCACACCCCAAAAAATATCTCTCCCCAAAACCCTAAAAAAACCCATAAAGGTGATTATTATTTCATCTCCACATACTTGAGTGATAAAATAAATGTAAGGTTTTTAATTTTCATTCCTTAGAATATACCAGCAAGAAATTGAGTTGGGGATTTTGTGCTTGAGAAAAAAGAAGAAGAGCCAAGTGTAATTATTGCTAATTGCCCTAATAAGACTGGTTTAGGTTATGATCTCTGTCGCCTCATTCTTTTCTTCAGTTTGACCATTGTCAGAGTTGGTTGTCTATTTCCGAACAAATAAGAAATGTTCAGGTCTGTATTCTCGAATTTAGGTCATATGTTCGGGAGTTCAGTCCCAAAAAAAATGATGAATAGTTTTTATTATTTTTCTTATTTTTTTCAATATACTTATTCTTACAAGGCCAATCTCTTTTACGCTAAGAATACCATCAAAATTATGAATATTTTTATGAGCTTTTATTATTATACTTCTCTCGTCTTATGGAGTTGTGGTTGCTAGAAAAACATTCACTCGTTATCATTACCGGATAAGTGAAGGTAATCAAATGATTGCCATTATTACCGCTAAAGAGTTTTTAAGATTTTGAGGGTGGGTAGGTTTGGAAAAGTAAGATTTGAAAAAGATGGATGGGTAGTGATAAAGGTGGGTGCATTCATAAATTATAATTCATGATATAATGTATGTGTTGGCTTAGTATTCGTTTGGGAAGTGGGTTGACTTTTTGGCTATTTTTGCCTGAGGCTAAAAAGCCTCGTTTTGGAAAGATTTTATGGGTTTTTTGACTATTTGTGAGAGAAAGAATGTAATAATTATGGGTTGCACGTGATATTTTGTCTTATTAGACTAAAAAATTATTTTGTCTTTTTGTGGTTAAAATAATTCTAAACCCAACCCAACTATTCTTCCTAAACAAAACCTTAATTATGAGATGAGATACCTCAAAATTATTAATGTAATTTTTAAAAATTTTATTTAAAATTATTATTGTAATAAAAAAATCCTAAAAAATGGGATCCAAAATAATTGATGTCCGCTAATAACGGCACTTAAAAAAAAAACTGGGAAAATATATAAAAACCTCGCAAAACCCAGTTATCCTAAAAACCTCTCTTTCTCTAAAAATGGAGAAAGGGGGAAGAACAGTAGCAAGAATTCATCCACTATGTCTCTTGAACAGTTCGTCTCCACCATGGCCCCTCTATTCGATCTCGAAAAGGTCCCCTCTTTCTCTCTCTACACACACAAATATGTCATTTTAATCTTAGCCCTACTGGAAATGCGCCAAAATTCAGGAACTTCTGTTTGCATTTTTATCTTCTGAATCATTGAATTAAACCTCTCTCTAAACCTCTCTCAAATTATAAACCCTAGCTCTCTCATCTTTCTCTCTACGATGAACCTCTCATCACTGACACTTGAATCAAACCCTATCACAGCTCAACAGGGAAGCTTCTATGGAAGAACAATCCAAACCTGTGCTGGGTCTCACCTTCTTCATCTTCACCATCACAAGGATGCGGTGTTCTCTGTGAAGTTTGTTGCTTCTTCTTCTTCTTCTTCATCGCCATCTGCTGTGGCTGCTGAGTAGGCGAGTCAGGGGCTGAGTCGAATCGGATCACTGAGTCAGGTCTCGGGCGTGTTGGGTTGTCAGTGGGGTGATGAAGGTAAAGGCAAACTCGTCGATATCTTGGCCAAGCACTTCGACATCGTCGCTCGTTGTCAGGTATATGTGTACATGTATGATCTTCAAGAAGGTTTCTTATTTGGTCTCGAATTAAAATTTACATTCTTGTTTGGGAATTATGAGAGAAAAGAAAAGAAATTGTTACAATTTGATAAGAGAGAAAAGATTTCTCTGCTCTTTTGTTTGGTTAAATTACATTAAAAAAAAGATTATCAAAATTGCAAATGAGGGTTATAGAACACCCCATTTATTACCTTTAAAAATTAATCCAAACAAACGAGAGAAATGCACTTCTTTTTCTTTTATTCCAAAGTCACCAAATCCAAATGGGCTCTTTTACTTACAAAAGATTGTCTTTTGGGTCTTATATGCAAAGGCGAAATAAAACAGTAAAATACATCCGATGATTATAAGTCATATGGATTCCTCATACTATTTGACAATTCACCCTACATGCATCAACCAAATTTACCCATGTTGGTTATTCATCTTAATCGCAGTTTTGACTTCCACAAGATCTCAAGGCATAAATTGGACATATTGTTAGCGTTTGTTTTGTACTCTTAATGGCCTGGTGTTGAAATTAGGTCTTTAATAAGTGATTACTCTATACTAAACATGTTAGAAATTGGAGATCAGTTTATAAAAGACAAAGTAATTTGGTGGTGGTGAGATTTTTGAGGTGCTAGTGCCCGAATTGTCAGTTTGCTAAAACCAATTTTGTTGGCAAGGCAAAGGATGTGCTAGTAATTTAGTGGTGGTAGTGGTGATAGGATGGATATAAGTAAATGCTACATGTTTGCATATATTACAGGTGGTGGGGTTGGTAGTCATTTTAAGTGACATTGTTGACTGGTCATTGGGGGTTGTTTGGGCAAAGTAACCATTTTTAAGCGGTAGTGGTGGTGGATTTGTTGTGGTATTAACTATTAAGGGTGTTTTTGGAGGTGGGCTCGACATAATACCAAAGGTGTTGGTGGTGATAATAAGTGGAAGAGGCATTTGAGGTATTGCAATCAGATCAGACCCATCACAGCCGACACTAACCTAATGGGATGGTCATGAGCTTCAGATCTGAGAGTGTCCTGTCTAAACACCTTGATTGGATTCTTTTGTCGTTGAATTCGTCACGTTTGGCTCTTCCTTTGCCATATCAGAATATGTCAGCTATGATTAGCCAACAGGTGATGCTTCCTCAAAAATGACCTTCTGTGTGGCACTGGTGTCCAATCAGAAGAGGATAACAGAAGTGGATGGGTTGTGGAATGGGGTAGGGGGAATTGGAGGTGGCAATGGTGCTGAAAGAGGAAGGGGTGGAGGGCAGTGGCTGAGGGGAGGGGGAGGAGATGGGGCATTTCATCCATGGGCATCACCCATTCCTTTGCTATGGGTGTCATAATGTTTTGATACTTGAATGTAGAGTTCATCCAAGTTAAAAAAGCTCAAAAATTTGCAACTAAAATACCAAGTTCCCCAATCTACAACTAGTACTCTGATGAACACCAGATAGTAACTCTTTCCTACTTCTCTTTATGATTTTTGGATATTCAATTTACATGTAAACATGAACATCTATATTGCCACAATTCAAAGTATATTTTACTTGTGGCTAGTGAAAGATCCATTTTTTTTTTAATTTTTTTTATTTTAAAGACTAAAAAAGAAAGAACCATAAAAAAGGAAAGGTCTTCTTTTTGAGTTGATAAACCTTCTGCTAAACATGCTTTGTGTGATTGTAAACAGCCAGGTGTCTGAGACTTGCAATCATTTTACTCTGAAGCTTTAAATATAACTTGATGTCAGGGTGGAGCCAATACTGGACACACTATTTACAATGCAGAGGGGAAGAAGTTTGCCCTTCATCTTGTTCCTTTGGGTATTCTTAATGAGGAAACTGTGTGTGTGATTGGTAATGGGGTTGTAGTGCATTTACCAGGGTTGTTTGAAGAAATTGATGGCCTTGAATCTAATGGGGTCTCCTGCAAAGGTAGGATATTGGTATCTGATCGTGCTCACATGTTATTTGATTTTCATCAAGTAGTAGATGGCCTTAGAGAGGCCGAGCTAGCTAATTAATTTATTGGCACTACCAAGAGAGGCATTTGACCAAGTTACTCCAGCAAAGTTATTCGCAACGGCATTAGAATATGTGACCTTAGGCATATGGACACTTTACCTCAGAAGCTTGATATGTTATTGTCAGATGCAGCTTTAAGATTCCAAGGTTTTAAGTATAGCTCAGACATGCTCAAAGAAGAAGTTGAAAAATACAAGAGATTTGCTGAGAGGTTGGAACCCTTCATTGCTGACACTGTGTATGTCGTGAATGAATCCATTGCACAAAAGAAGAAGATTTTAGTAGAAGGTGGTCAGGCAACCATGATGGATATTGACTTTGGAACCTATCCATTTGTAACTTTCTCTAGCCCATCAGCTGGTGGAATCTATACTGGTCTTGGCATTGCCCCTAGAAGTCTTGGTGACCTAGTTGGAGTGGTAAGAGCTATAATTCTTTCATTTCTTTATTATTTTTCTCTTTTCTCCCAAGTGTCTCTTTTAGAAAGTGATTTCGCCTGAGTGTTTCATGGTAATAACATTTGTACTTCGCACAATACACTTATACCATGGTCATTTATGGTACCTACCTGATATTTTATGGTGCAGATTAAAGCGTACACCACTAGAGTTGGTTCAGGTCCTTTCCCAACAGAAATCTTGGGTAAAGGTGGTGACCTCCTTGGGTTTGCTGGGCAGGAGTTTGGCATGACTACTGGTCATCCTCGTCGTTGTGGCTGGCTTGATGTAGTTGCTCTAAAATACTGTTGTCAGATTAATGGCTTTTCTTCTCTAAATCTCACTAAGCTTGATGTCTTGTCAGATCTTCCTGAAATTCAGTTGGGGGTATTGTATAAACACATTGATGGTACACCAGTCAAATCCTTCCCTGGTGATCTTCATGTTCTCAAGTTTCCATATATTTATTTGAAACGGGTATCTAAACTTACACAGGGCTGTGTATATTTTAGCCCTCGTACACTAGGTCGCCTTTTTTACTCAATGGAGAATTAAACTTTGATAGCATTGGCTCACTAAATAGAAACTTTACACGTAGTATGTGGTTGGTTGTCCATTTTTGTTTTCCATGTATTGGGACCCTACTCGTTCTCAAGGATGCCAAAATGAAACTTGTCTTCACCTGGAAACCCTAGCAATGAATCTTCTCTGTCCTAAAAAAATAGTCCTATTTCTAAGTAGGAAATTACCTGAATGTGATGGTTTACACCTGATGTTTGACCCTCCCCCGCTTGTTGTTTTGTATCAATAATCTAATACATAACAAAAATTAAAGAAAATAATTGAAAAACTAAAGATTGAGTTTGTAATTGTTTCCATTTGCCTCATAGTGGCTTCCATTCACCATGTGAATTGTATTTTTTCTTTCTTATATATGTCAGGTGGAATATGAAGTTTTATCGGGGTGGCAATGTGATATTTTGAAGGTGAGAAACTACTCTGATCTTCCAAAGGCTGCACGGGAATACGTGCAAAGAATAGAAGAACTTGTTGGTATTCCCATCCATTACATAAGCGTCGGGCCTGGGCGTGATGCTCTTATATACAAGTGATATTATTTATTAGGGTTTCTGTTCTTCTCAATTGCTAGAATGAAGCTTTTTAATGCTGGAGGTGTATGTCCCCTGTGATTGGGATTAATTTTTGGACAAAGAGATAAATTTTTAGCTAGTGGACATGCATTCGTTGTAACAAATGTTAATTCTCAATCTGGGCTACTTTGATAGAGTTGTTGAATTTGAATAACTTTGTTGGGTAATAATATAGGGCATTTTGGTATGATACCATGGCTTAGGCTCTGTTTTGTGCAGTTTTTAGGGTTTTTTTTTTTTTTTTTTTTTGAACAGTAAATCAGTCAATTTTGGAGACACCGAGTCTTTGACCATTGTTGATTTAGGATTTTTTTGGGACCTTATTTGTCAATAGGGTAAATAATTAAAAAGTTAAAAATTATTATAAGTTGTCATATTATTTTTTTAATTTTTTATACATCTTTTAATAAAAAATTTAAAAAATAATTTTCAAACATGCCAAAAATCAAAAAAGTTATTATGAAAGTTAACTATTTTTTTATTTTTGTAAATAATTCTTTGGAAAATTTCAAAAACTCATTAAAAATGTCAATTTTTGGAACACCCATAATCATGTTATTACAAATGTTGTAGAAGTGTAGAATGATTATGACTATAGCACTTGTAATTGCATGAAATGTTACTAATTCGTATAGAATGATGGTTAATTTTATGTGATATTATTTATGTAATTTTTAAAACTAATTATTTAACAAAAAAATTTATTAAGGCATACAGACTCAATCTTATTATGTCGCTGAAGAATAAAAAATAACTCACTCGAATATGTGTTACTATTTTATATTGAGCAAGAGTAGCAAGTAAAAATGCTACATTTAGAAAAAAAAATATAACTAGTTCTAGAAATTTGAAATAATTATATTAACACATTATGGTATCTTCATCGAAAATTTATTAATTATATAAATAAATAAAATATTATCATTTTTTAAGTAAAATATATATTTGATCTTACAAAAATATTTGAGAGCTCTAAACCAAGAGCTCTAATGAGTGGGGCCCATTAATAATGTGATGTTTTGGATTTTTTTATTTTTTCGTTACCACATAAGTATAACTCAATTTAGAATTTTACTTTTAGAACTCTCTATTACCACCCTTGATCTTATTTATCTTTGTATTTGAACATCATCTGTATTAATTTAAAATTACATCAAAATTGAAAACCTTATTTATACTTATGCCAAAATTTAGGAAAAGCAAAAAATAAATATTTTTTGATATAATAGAAAACGAAAGTCAGTATAAAATATTTTCACAGTAAATGAAAAACAATCTTATTCGGAAAGAAAATATTTTTTACTTTTAAAAGGCTGAAAATATTTTTTAGACTAAAATTTTACCAATTTCATCACATCGCCAGCGCCACTCTTACCCCCACCACCATCACCACAACTACCATTACTATTGCCTTACCACCACCACCTTCATTCTACCACCACTATCAAATATAGAAAAATATATTTTTTATTTTTAATAAAAAAATCAAAAATATTTTCTATCCAAATAAACAAAACTTTATATATACGAGAGGTGTAAAAGGAATTTTGTAGACAAAAAGAAAAGATAAAAAAGAGTGTTGCTATTGGTATCCCATCAGTTATTTTGAATGTCCCATTTCTTTGGACCCCACTTATAAATTTTAAAACCCTTAAAAAAAATTTATCCCCTAAATAATATCAAAATTATCCTTATCTTCCACACATTCAATTGGATGCACGCCCCCACACCCCAAAAAATCTCTCTTCCAAAAACCCTAACCAAAGCCACAAAGGGATTATTATTTCATCTACACATACTTGAGTGAGAAAATAAATATAAAATTTTTAATCTTCAATCCTCAGAATATATCAACAAGAAATTAGATTGGGATTTTTGTGCTTGAGATAAAAAAAAGAGAAGAGCCAAGTGTAATTTATTGTCAATTGCCTTTATAAGATTGGTTTAGATTGTGATCTCTACTGCCGCCTCATTCTTTTCTTTGGTTTGATCATTGTCAGAGTTGGTTGTCTGTTTCCGAAAAAATAAGAAATATTCAGGCATGTATTCCTGAATTTTAGTCAAACGTTCGGGAGTTCAACATCGAAAAAATGACGAATAATTTTTATTATTTTTGTCATTTTTTTCAAGAAATTTATCCTTATAAGGCCAATTTCTTTTGAGCTAAGAATACCATCAAAGTTATGAATCTCTTCTGAGCTTTTATTGTTGTACTTATCTCATCTCATGAAGTTGTGGTTACCATAAAAACTTTCATTTATTATCATTGCCGAAAAAATGTAAGTGTGGGGATATATTTTCTAAGTACCAGAACGTGGCAAGGTGACACCGACGTGTCAGCCGAGGTGCCACGTGTCTTGGTTGTTGTGCCGTGGTTATCTCGTCTAGGCCGAGGTTTCCTCCGAAGATATCGGAATCTAAGATAAGCGGATAAGGGGCAAGAGTCCTGAAATGAAGAAAAGACTTCAAGATGGGTAAGGATAAGACTTCTGGAAGTCTATCCTTATCTCTTGAAGAGTCCAAGGTAAATCCAGAATTGAAGTCCATAGAAGTCAAGCTTCTAGTGGGACTAGGATTGAGTTAACTATAAAAGAGAGGCACCCCCGACGGGTCTAAGGTACGCAATTTGTATTCAGAGCAGTGAATTTAGCACTTGATTATCTTTGAGAGATATACTGACTTGCTCGTCGGAGTGCGCCCGGGTGGAAGAGCCATCGCCGGAGCCTTCTCTTTCTGTTGCAGGTTAGTTGAAGCCATCTATTCTGCCAGTACTCTCTAGCTGATTACTAGACGGGCAGTGTGATCAGAAAATCACTCACACAAATTGGCGCCGTCTGTGGGAAAGAAAGAAGAATAGATGGCCAGTAACGGACAGAAGGAAAAGATTGGGGACAACGCTCCTACTGGGAGTGGCAGACCCGTCGACCTTGAAGTCGAAGAAGACAACCACAATAAAGAAACTCATGACCAGAATCACGGAGAGAAAGACATTGGCCAGACTGGTGACGCACCGAAGAAAATAGACCAGGGTAGGTACTATAACGAAGATAACCTCCAGACTTGGAAAGACAGATGCCTGCGGAGGGATGAAGAAGTAAAAGAGATGGCGAATAAATTGGCCGACCTGCAGTCGGTCGTCAATTTTATGATGCAAAACAATGTCATGCAGCCACCCTTCCCACTGCATGACACACCGATTCCAGCGGTCAACACCCAGAAGGGAGGACAGATCCCCATAGCCCCTCAGCACAACAGAAGACACTCTCACCAAACCTCCAGGGAGGTCGGACGAGGAGGGTCAAGAGGGAAGAATCACAGAGGTCACGTCGCACGAAGAAGGCACACCCCAAAGAACATCGGCATGTTCAGGGGCAAGCATTATGCTTCGACACATCTCACGGGGAAAGATCCAAAAGGGCCCACCACGAGGCCGAGAGTAGTGTGCCGAAAAGACTGAAGTCCAAAGACAGCCGAGCTCTAGGGAGAAGTAAAGAAGACTTGAGAGATTACTTCAAGAGGAAGCAACAGAATGCCGAAGCCGAAGTAACTTCCCCGGTTAAGCCGAGGACACCATTCTCGGTGGAATTGGACAAATTCGTAGCGCCGAAGAGATTCAGTATGCCGAGGTTCCAAATATACGATGGTAAGTCAGACCCTAACTTCCATGTTGGATTATTTTTTAACTCAATGGCATTGTATAGTGGGAACGAGCCGTTGCTCTGCAAAGTGTTCCCCTCATCCTTCAGGGAGATTGCATCAGATTGGTTCCACAAACTACCGAAGGGAAGCATGAGGACTTGGGAAGGCCTGGCCAAGATGTTTGTGGCCAGGTTCATAACAAACAAACTGCAGCCATTGAGGGTGGACACATTGATGGCTCTGAAGATTAGTAAAGATGAAGGCCTTAGGGCCTATGCAAAAAGGTACTATGAGGTGTTCAATCGAATACCCGAATGCAACCAAGAGGTGGCGGTCGTATCTTTCAAGAACGGCCTGAAAGATGATTGTCCACTACGAAAGTCTTTGGCAAAGACATTGCCAAAAAGCATGGAAGAGCTCATGGCGAGAATCGAGAAGTATGCCAGAGCCGAGGAGGATACGTCGGGGAATAAGGAGACAAAGCCAGAAAAAGGAAACGGCTCGCCGAAGTGGAGTTCAGGCCGAGAACAGCAATTAAGGGCCAAGTTTTGGCCGACTTCGTGGCCGAGTTCACGCCAGAATCCATCGAACATCGGGCTCCGCTGAGCCAAGATGAATGATGTCTAAACAAGGAAGGAAAAGCCCAGCCAAAGGCAAAAGAACCAAGGAAGAAAAAACTCTGACCCTGCAGTATTTACATTGGCGACTCCTTTCGACTTTTCGTTGATAGGAGCTCAAACTGGCAGGGAGCAGGGACAGGAGTAGTATTGATATCTCCAGATGGAGAGAATTGGAACAGTCCATTCGAAGCATCTGCATAATGATGCCTTGGTAGTATCCCTCCAGGTTGGGGAGTGCCAAATGAAACGCATCCTGATCGATCAAGGCAGCTCTTGCGATATCATGTATGTCAGATGTTACAAGGAGCTGGGCCTTCACCCTGATGACATGGAGCAATCGAATGGCCCAATGGTCGACTTCAATGGAACGCCGACATGGCCATTGGGCGCAACAAGCTTGGAGGTACAAGCTGGCACTAAGAAGATCAAGATAGAATTCATCGTGATTGACACGCCCTTGCCATACAACATTATCTTGGGGAGGCCGTGGTTGCATGCAATGGGGGCAGTTCCCTCAACATTGCATCAACTACTGCGGTTCCCAACAGAACATGGGATTGAAGAAGTCAGAGGAGATCAATTACAGGCAAAAAATTACTCCATGACAGCAATGAAATCCACCTGTAATATTTGGGAACCAGAG